GAGTGTGAGAGAGAGAGAGAGAGACTGTGTGTGTGTGTGACAGAGACTCTGTGTGTGTGTGTGTGTGTGTGTGTGTGCGCTGGCTCCTGGGGAAGTCTATGAGAGACTGTGCACTGTGTCTTTAAGCACAGAGACACTCACCAGAAGGCTAGTTCAGACCACAGCAGCTCCGTCCTGCTCCTGCGTCCTGTCCCTCCTCCCCGGCTCTGCGGAGATGGGGTACATAGGCAGAGGGAGGGGAACACCCTGACATCAGCGCCTCCCTCCCCCCCCCCCCGCTCTGCACAGCCAGCAAGAGGGTCCTTGGGATCAGCTGGCCAGGGCTCCAAGGCAGAGGGCAGGAGCAGCGCAGATGCAGGGCAGCGGGGGGGGGGGAAGGGCACCTGAACACACGTGCCAGATGTGCGCGGCTCTGCTAATCAGTGTGAGGCACTTGACTGATTCTTGGGCAGCTTACAGGGAACCCTGCTCCTGGTGCCCAGCTGGAAATGACTCTCAAGAGAGGGGCTGAAACTATAAAAAGGAGGGGCAACTACCCCAAGGCACCCCCCTTTCTCTCTCCCCTCCCATCATATTCAATGCACCTGAAACAACAAAGGAAGCCTTCGCTGGAGTTGGGGGGAGGGGTTCTAACCTGCAGAATTTGGTCAGTAAGATTGCGGACAGCATATGGTGAGAAACTGCTTGAATCTGATAGTTTGTTAAATTAGATATTAGTAAACATTTTATCTTTATTTTTCTTATAACCATTTCTGACTTTTATGCCTCATTACTTATATTCTTTGTAGTTAATAAACTTGTTTTATCATTTTATCTATTCCAGTGTGTTTAAACTGAAGTGGCTGGGAATCTGCATCTGGGGTGGCAAGTTATGCGCATATTATTTCTATTAAAGAAATGGCAGACTTAATATAATTTGTATTGTCCAGGAGAAGGCAGGGCGGTACAGGACATACATTTCTGGGAGGAAATTTACAACTGGGGGTGTGTTGGGGTCACCTTGCAGTATAACCAAGGCTGGTGAGAACCAGGGTGTGGCTTGCATGCTGGAAGGCTGTTTGAGAGCAGCCCAGGTGGGGGCTACTTCAGCAAAGACACACAACATTACTGGGCCGGAGTGACACAGCTGTTTATTAGTCTCAACTGTTCGCTGATACGGCACAGAAGACAAGAGCGGGCTAGGCATCTGTCAGTTTTTTGCCAGAAAAAGTTACATCAACAATTTTATTTATGCTAAAACATGTCAATTTCAACTCAGTGTCCCATGTGAAAGAATGTCAATAATTTTTTTTTTTTCATTTCTGAACATTTGTTTTGGGAATTTTATTTTTTTCATTTTTACATTATTTCACATCCACATACAGAAGTAGTAGGTAATCAAAATGTCTCCTCTTTGTGTTGGAATTCAATAGTTTTACTCTTTGACACAAATCCAATGTCATGCTGCCTGGCATGGGACACAGCTAAGAGCACCTATCTCAGGTCAGACTGCTGGAATATGGGGCAGACTGGTGGATACTCTATCATAAGATTTCACCAAGCCAGTAACAAATGTCTGCTTCCAAATACTCTACTAGTTATTATGGAGCCACAGACAGTCCCCTTCAGGCCCTCTAGCCCTCATGCACTACCCAGACAAACCAGACTTCTGTGATAAATTATGCTTAAAACCAGAAATCACAGGTATTAGATTCTTCCAGTTCCAAAAAACCAGACACTCACCCCCGGTCAAAATATATTTCAGATCTTACCCAAAAACCATGCTAATAGCCAATCCTTTAGTAATTTAAAAACTAAATGTTTATTAATATAATAAAAGAAGAGAGTTATTAAAAGTTTCAGAGTAGCAGCCGTGTTAGTCTGTATCCGCAAAAAGAACAGGAGTACTTGTGGCACCTTAGAGACTAACACATTTATTAGAGCATAAGTGGGCTGTAGCCCACGAAAGCTTATGCTCTAATAAATGTGTTAGTCTCTAAGGTGCCACAAGTACTCCAGTTATTAAAAGGTTCGAAGGAATCATATACATTACAGTTGATTTCAGAGTTTGTAGATTAGGATAATAGCAGTGATGTTAAATCTGCTAGTTTGCAGTAAGTCTCTCCTGATCACCCAAAAGATTGGGGGTTCTCAGTCCATCGTTCAAAGCTTCCCTTTGTTAGAAAGCATAGTCCAGAGATGTGGAGCAGGAAAAAGTTTTCATTTATACCTTCAGCGCATGCGCATGGAAAGTTACTGTCTCCAACATGGAGTCATGGATCACACGTCCTATGTGCCCTGCTGAGACACTGGCCTCCATTGTCCATGTGCTCAATAAGACATCCTCAGGAGGGGCCCATTGGAAGAGTTGATTCTCCTTGATGGCTCATCAACTAGCTGCCGGTGGGTGTGGAGCACCCACCAATTTTTCCCCGAGCGGGCTCCAGCCCTGGAGCACCCACGGAGTCGGCGCCTATGGTAAGAACAGTAGGACAACAGAACTGACTGCCTAGGAAAGTCATGGAAGCTCCTTCACTGGAGGTTTTCAAAAAGAGGCTGGATAACCACCTGTCTTGGATGGTTTAGACATAAGAAATCCTACATCTTGGCAG